CATGGCGACGATTGCATACTTTGAAGACTGTCTCCAATCAATGCCTTAATACAAAAAATTCCAAAGAATGCAGTGACTATACAAACCAATATTTTTTTGGCGTTACTGCTCTATAAATTAACTAACAGATGTAAATTGTGAAAGGATTCCGTTTATCATAAAATATTATCGTGTATAGCGGCATCTAAAAAAGATGTAATAATTCATTATATACGTATAATATATACACAAAGCATATATTGGGATATCCCCTTTTTAACAATTTATTTGATATCGGAGCATGTGCAGCACGACATGTAATGAAAATACAATTTTTGTATGATAATACAACGTTTGTAATCGCCAACGATTAAATATTGGAAGCAGGGCATCTCTAGCTACGACCGATGATGCTATAACGCTGGATTACTATCTGCCTTTGAATTGTATGGATGTACGCTTATCAGCAGTATTTATTAATTTTTCATTAATTGTTAAAGTTTCAAAATTTTTCAATACCCTTCTGTCGACTTTAACTTGCTTTATATTGATTCTACGTATGCCTTCTCGTTCAAAATATCTCAAAGTATGCAATAGCTGCAAAATTACCAATACTGCTTCCTGTCTTATAAACAATATTTTTAGTTGCATGTGGTGCTTCGAAAGATAAATTGTCAATAAGGGAATGTCCCAAAGCATGCTATTATGTATGTGCATATATATTATATACGTATATATAATGATAGTTGTTTCACCTTTTACTAGATGCCGGCACAATAATATATAATTAGAAACGGAATCGTTTTACAATTAACATCTGTTAGCATATAGAGCATTAACGCCAAAAAATATTGGTTTATATACATATTGTATAGTCACTGCATTCTTTGGGATTTTTTGAATTAACATAATTCAGTATGAATTTAGGCTTAAATGAAATAAATCAATGAGTATAAAAAAAGTCAATATAAGCCGACACGGGGGGTATGTGTGTTTAAATAAAATATGTATTAATCAATCGATACAAAATTAGAGCGCAAACGTTCCGACTCTTATTCGAGTCATCTTCGAATAAATCACGAAAATTTGATAAAATAATCTATCATCTCCATTTTTATAATCAAAGATCGCTTATTAAGTATTTGGAAAAACACTTAAGCAGTGAAGTTAAAAAGTTAAAAAATGTTACGATGACTTGACAATGTGATACACATGGATATAACATGTATACGGTTTAAATAGTAATTTTTGAATTAAGGTATTGATTTGAAACTGTCTTTAAATTATGCAATTATCGCTATAAAAATGTCTTCAAGTAAGATGTTTTACCGACAATTTCAAGGCATATTTCATGTCACCATAGTAGCATTTTATCACAATAATTTTTGAATATTATATACAATTAAATATTAATTTATTTTTTAAGTCTAAATTCTAAAGTAGACGATTAAAGTACTAAATTATCATGAATCGTTTAAAATCCAATTTTCACATTTTTGTATTATTATTATGTGTTACATTACAAACAGCGTTGTATATTGTTTAAAACATTGTTCATATATATTGCGATTGAAGTTACCTGAATAGAAAAGTCCTATATTAATTTATAAATTTTGCAATGATTAATGAGAAATAATTTAATAATATTCTGGAAATTGTTTTTCATACGTCCAATTAAAAACTAATGTAAGTGAACGACAATTCAGTTACATACTCTTACACACCAATTGTATTTACGCACGTGATATTGATAAAGTTTGTACGGTTGATTAAGCACTATATGTGACTCACTTTTAGAATGCATCTAGGATGTTTTTTTTTCATTTATATGCATGTTTATTTGATCGTTATAATTAATTAATTTCTCGTTAACTTTTCAGAAATTATGATATTTTTAGAAGCTTTTTTCAGTTTAATTTGCTCTATCTACTAATTATTGATGTTACACATATTTTTAGATTTTTGTATAAAATAATATATTTTGTGTATAAATAATTATCGATTAACTTAAAAGTTGACATGCAACATGTAATAAAAATTGATACATAAATACTATAAGAATTTTTAAAATTATAATTTCTTTTTAAAGAAATGTGTCTTTTAAATGTGTTTTTTTTAAGAATTGCTGTATAAAACATGAAATTACTGAAATGACTTGAAAAACATACAACGCTTATTTTGGGGACATAAAATATATAAAATAAATATAAAGAGTTGTAGTCAAAGTAATCGAACATAGAAAAGTCGCGTAATCAAACATTGAAAAGTCGCGTAATGTGATGTTCCCGATAAGTATTAAAGCGTGAATCCATGGTAACGGGTATTAGAAAAATGAATATTGATAAAGGAAATCGTACAGATTGATTGTGAGTCGCGAGCCGTTAAGACGT